TCCGAATCCTACTCTGATGGGCAAAAAGGCTCTCGGAAGGCTCACATGCCAAGTTTAGTTGTCAAGTGAGAATTTGACTAGACTGGAAACTGGAATGCTTTGTAGCATTGAAACACATGTGTGTGTTCCCATGTTGGCAAGTTGTTAAGTCAAGAGTGAAAGACCAGTTATTATTGTCTCTGTAGTAAACTCAGTTGCAATGCTGTCATCGTGACAGAAAGACACACTGGTGATAAAATCCCAACTGTGTTGAAGTTAGTGGGGAAACTTCCATGCATAGTCACGGGAGTAGTCCCACTCCGGGTCCTCTGCCTTGGAGCCTGCTCTCTCTGGCTGCTGGGCTAGAGAACAATTCTCATGACTTACTCTAAAGCATGCTGCTTCTCTGCCTCACCCTCTGCGAGAGCCTCTCACTTATCAGTCGCAGGAGATGGAGCCTGCAGTGATGAGTTTTCTTAATTTACCCGACAACCTAAGGTAGGCTGAGTACTTAACGATAGCTGGGGGAAATACCCCATCGCCCCTTTTCTTCCTGTACATGTGGTTATTTAATATGCAAATTAGAGAAAGGAATGAAATGAGCCTTTAAACCATTAAAAAGTTGGGCATGGTGTGTTTACAGCGGATTCATGTGCAATTACCACGTAACTGGTTCCTGTACTTTTGTCATATTTCATTTACTTTCCTCATGTAGTGCATGCCTCCTTGGAAGGCTGGTCCCTTAAACATTTTTAGTCTTATCAAGGAGAAAATACTGCCTTCATTATCAAAGAGCAAACCAGTTGTGGAAGAGTTTTCCACTTTCTTGTGCTGTATGAATAAGAGTCTTCAAAGTGCTGTTAAATATTACTCAAGTGAACAGAAAAGATAGCCAAGGAAGCAAGAGACTTCCAACATGCAAATTTAGAAACCTGCTCTTAACACAATGGTTTCCAACTTGTCTGTTGTGTAAATAAATTGGGCTGTGTACTGGGCTCAACTGAATGGGCTTGGACCTGATGCAAAGCCTCTGGGAGGAATCCCAGTTGGAGGGATTCCCAAGGACTTGAGGGCTTCTTGTGTCATCTCATGGGTTGTGCTTTGGCTGTAGGAAGCAGTCCCCTCCTCCAGGAGCCACACATCCTTCACTGTAGGCATCAGGGAACTTACTGGTGTGCCGCAGCCTTCTGGCCTGGACCTCATCCCAGGCTGGAGTCAGGATGTTGGGGGCAGCCCTTGGAAAAGAGAGAAGCTCTTGGAGAGAAGCAAGCTTATCCTTCTGTTCCCCCCACACCAGTACGTGCGACACAGTCAAGATAAGGTGGCCCTGGGCCACTACCTCAGTAGGATCTCAGGGGAGCTTGGCACACCTCCAAATTTTTGGCTGCATTATAGGTACCATTAGGACCAAATTGAGACAAATCTCTTTTCTGGGAGAACCTGTATAGCAAGACATGGATTGCATGTGACAATCTTGTACCGTTTGCTCTCTGTCAGCTCTTGCTCTAGATGTTCTCAAAAAGGCTCGTAAAGGATGTTCATTCGTGATTTTAGATGGTCTAGAAGCTTTGTAATGGTGTGCAAATATGTAGTTACATTTTCTAATAGCGAATTAACTTGGTGGTGTAGTAACAATGTGTGTACTTTTCTGAATTTTTGTTATTCTACATGACTGGTGGAACATTTAAGGCATCAGAATTACAGTGCTAGTAAGGTCTACCTTAGAGCTTGGTCGTTACAGAGTATATAGTTGTCTGTGTTATTTGCTCAGACTTCTAAACCACATATTTTGTGGTAAGAACTTTTAAGTAACAAATGCAATAAAATAACATTTTCCCCTTTTCTATATCTGTCTGTCTCACAAGACACAGACAGCTTTAGCCTTTGCTAAAACATCAAAGTACCAGGAGCAGTATTACCTTTTGAGTTTTTTCAAAAAATCTGAGACAAACTCTGTTATTTACTAGGGTTTTATATGGCCTTTAAAAAAAAAAAGTCTCAGTATTGTCCAACCATTTTTTCCTCGTGCTTGGAAATCTTAATCTCACAACATCAACTGGGAAAGTCGCAGAGCAAGAGTGTGTGTGGCCTGGTAAGTGAGCCCAGCTCTTCTGAGGTAGTCTGGTTGGGAGAACGCTTCCCATCTTCCTTTCCTAATGCAGCAGGACCATGACAGGAGTAAAGGATTTAAGTGTCACTAAAATAAAAAATTAATGTTAAATGTTAATTATATGATTGTTTGCTATATTATGTGATTATATATGATATTTAGGTCAACCTATGTCAGATCTGCTCTTAAGGAGCCTGGGGGAATCATCCTTACCCTTAGAGATGTTTGGTTAAGGAGTGAGGTCTAAAAGGGCCAAAACATTGTGATTCCAAGCTGCTGCTCTCAGTGGGCTGCTGTGGAAGAAGAGGCTGCGATGGATGTGGCAGATGTTCCACAAAGACCCCAAAATGTCCATGTGGTTGAGGTGAAGATGGACATATTGTGGTCACAACCAGACAACTGTCACCACGGGTTTGAGGGCAGGGCCCATCTCTGCTTCTTCCAGCAGAGAAGTGCTGCCAGACCTAGGCTGGCTTCACAGTCCTCTGCATTTACAGCTAGTGAGGCATTAATTTATTTGTTTTTATTTGGAAGACAGTCTAAAAATTAAGAGTGTTTTTAAAGGATGTAATATAGCTCAAAACAAAAAATGTTCTTTTATGTGCCAAAACAAGATCAACAATTTCGATTGACATTGTACTGGCTAAATTATTAGTGAAATGACATTGTACTGACACAGTTAATCCTTACTGTTTCTGTAAAAAGTACTGTTGATCTTTTGCAAGTTGTACTATAAATTGTTTTTAAAGGGTTTACTCTTCATCATATAAGTTTTTAAATTAAATCTGTTTAATCAAAATGCTAAGGGCTTCAATTAAGTAGATTCAACACAGACCGCTGTAAGTGATTCAGATGGCTACTCAAACACATGCAGAACATTTGAGATTTACCAAACTTCTTTAAGCAACTGACTTAGTAGAAACTAAAACTGATGAGTTTTGCTCTTTGCTTTCTCAAGGCTAGTTTCAACTAGGATTAAAACACTGGTAATGGAAATTTTCCAGTTCCTTGCGAAGTTCAGTCAGCTGGACCTGACAACACCATCAGGAAGAAAAATAGGTGCTCCTGATTATATCCAAACTTGCAGATGAATTGTGCTGCTCCCCACCCGCCCTGGCATTCAAAATATCTTGAAAGGCTGCTTTACCTTCTGGAAAACATTCTGAGAAAACATTCTGTTCAGAGTTAATTTGGCTCATTTCATATTTCCTGTTCAGCATTTGTCTTCCATTGCTTTTTTTTTATCACTAGGGGTATTTGCATGAGAATGGGATCTTTCTTGCTTAAGAGTTCATCTGCTTCTGCTGCTAATTTCCTACCTGAAGTTGTAATCTTCTGTTTGTGACATCTTAATTATCTCAACCACAATTAATTGTGATGTCACAAATGGAGGATATTATGACTTTAGGTTGGAAATGAGATTGAGAAATTGAAGGAATTTGAAGAAGCAAAGAGGCCTTTCTTCTTGAAAAATAAGAGGAGACAAAATAATTTCGGTTAAATGGAGGCAGTCCTTCAGCTTCCTTCTTACAGGCATGGAACAGACGTTTCTAATTCTAGCTGTCACAGGAGGCCCTGTTCTAGTGAGACACTGTGGAGGGGGAGAAGCGGGCAAGGATTTCGTTGTGGAGGAAGGGGAATCTTCCCTTGATCAGTCACCCCCTGCAGCAAGAGGGAAGTAGAAATTGGTGGACCTCAGAGAGGTCCATGCTCTGCTCGCAGAGAGCGGGATGCAGGGTTGATACGGCTGCAGTTGGTTTAAAGACCAGTCCATTTGTTGCACTTCATATCTTGCTATATTCATTTGAGTTTAGACATCTGAGTTTGAAGAACAAGTTTCTAGAAGAGTGTTTTTTGAGGGGTGGGCAGAATTCCAAAGACTTCAGGATAAATTACATTCAGCATCCTGAAAATGTGCAAAGTAAAAGCTTTGTGCTACCCTAATCCACTGTGGCTTTAATTTGTTCTATGGACCTGTCATAATTCACTCCTCGGTATGTTGCCTTATCCTCTTGTATCCTTCTGCTTTTCTTCTGGAAGCATGTTGTTTCCACAGAGATTCTGGGTGGCTGGGTGGCCTGCTGGTGTTTTTGTGAGGATGTTACTAAGGCTGTTCATGTGCTTACACCATGATTTACGAAGTGGGAATACTCATCTACAGCTACTAGCGCTTCACACCGGAGCGTTTGCACAGATTGTGCATAAACACTGGGACCAAGTCATGATTGAAAGGGGGAAAAAAACCCAAAGATAATGAAAAGTGTCTTATTTCAACACCTTTACTGACATTAGAGAAAGGACAAAGACTGCAAAGTAGAGGGGTGAAAGTGGAGAGTAAAATAAAAGATAAGCCCTGTGGTTTTAGGAAAGTACAGCATCCTTCAGAAAAGCGTGGACCCATCCTTAGGTGTAAATAGAAGTAACCCTCAGTGGAAATAGGCCAGTCTGCGCTCGCTGGGACCCAGGTTCATCCATAGCTGTGTATCAAATCTGTTTTAACAGTTGGATGCGTACCAGATACTACACCATAGCGAAAGGGGCCGTTTCCTGTCGTCTTTTGGAATACACTGTAAAAACAGGCATTTGACCATCTGATTAACACAAAACCTGGTAGGGAAAATCAGCTGTTAAGATTTTGGACTCAAACACATTGCTGTAAGTCTGCAAAAGCTCTGCAGGCAACAACAGAGCCACTGTGATAATCTGACAACAGAACCTGGACGCTCCATGTTGCGATGCAAAGCTCATTTGCAGCACCAAACTTACCTTGTAGGCAAGGTGGTTTGAAGTTAAATTAGGATGCTTTCAGGGAGGCATAATAATACAAAGTGGAAATAGAATGGGGGGAAAAAAAAAGCCATATGCTGAGACATGGTTATATCTGCCAACGCTTTTTTTTTCTTTTTCAAAGGCAAAAGCAGTTATGGCAAAAGTTGGTTACCCTCAGTTTATAATGAATGACACGTATATTAATGAAGACATCAAAACAGTAAGTATCAGACTTGCAGCTTTCTTCTTTTACATATTGAAGCCATTCTTTGCTCTGTTTCACTGCTGTCTAAAATCAAAGCTCCTGTTTTGTTTGGCATGCATCTGGAGTTCTGCTTGCCTGGTTATTTTTAGATGTTGAATTAAGTATGCTGGCGCTCATGTCTAAATTTTCAATGCCGGTGTGTCTTAGCGAGATGACTGTGAAGCCTGCTGGGAGTGAAATGTGCCTGGGTGCAAAGAACCTTCCTGCTATTAAGCATTTTAAAGGTTAAATATAAGCTGTCATAAATTTTGCATTTAGTTATAAAAGTGAAACAAAACAAAAGCATTTCTCCTCAAAGTAATGGCCTTCAAATATACGAATGCATTTTTCCTCGGAATATCACAATTTATGATGCCCTGTACAGGCTCTCCTCATCTCTTCAGGCTATGAATTTTTTTTATTATTGTTGTTTATAATCGTGCCTAGAGGTCCTAACCAATGTGTAGGCCTACTGTGCTGGCTGCTTGACAAGGATGCTGTGGAGGACTCCTTCCTGACCCAGTATCTGTTCAGCTCTAAGGCAGGGAGGCAGATGATGAAGAATAATCTATTTTACCATTTTCGAAAAGGGTAACTGCGGCGTGCATGTGATGAGTTGTATTACTGAAAGTCACAGGCAAAGTAGAATCACAAATTCAATCCTGAACCGGTAAAACACAAGAGTGATGGTTGTCGTTGCCAGAGAACATGAACAAACACTAAACAAAGGCATAATTTATTGAGAAAACTTTGAAGAACCAACTATCAGCCTAGTTCAGGTTCCTGGAAAGAGTAGGGCGAGATGGTGCTGTGAAGGCAGTGTAATGAGACAGAGGATGTGACCAACTTTATCGCTCGGCGCATGGAATCGCTTGCCCAGATAAGTGGTAATGTCTACCGAAAAACACGTTTATCAAGGTTGCAAAACCGTAGTTTCGATCTGAAGTGCAACTTCCTTACGAGTCCTAGGATTGTTTGAAACTGGTGACAGGGATATCATCTGGATTTATAAACTATTAGTATCTCTTTTTCTTGCATGGTTAGTCGTGTGTGTTGGGGCAGGGTTGCTATTACATTTGGAGGCTTATGGAAGCATGGAGCCCTATGTCTGTAAACATTTTGTATGAGAAACAGTAAGAAAGCAATGGCAGAACCCTTGAGGACACAGAGTATGAAATATTTGCAATAAAATGCAAAACAAACTGAAAAAGCAGGCTTTGTTACATTTTTGAAAGTGTTTTTTAAATGCACTTTTAAAAATAGAAGTAAACCTATTAATAATAGCCATAGAAATGTTCAGTCTGCAATTCATCCTTGGGTACTTCTGATTGCCTCAGCTCCTCTCTGCACAGGGAAGAGCTTTTCCAATATTCCAGTCCCCTGTGTAGATCCGTTCAGCCGTTGTTTCTGAACTAATCTCACAAAATATTTATTCTTCCTACCAAGTGTGAAAATTTTATTTGCTTTGATAATGGCTAAAAAATTAGATGATTATCTTGTTTAAAATAAAATTTCTGGTGGTTTTATGTCAGCTTTTGTTTCCTTGGACATGCTTTAAAAATGTCTGTGCTTTACCTATACAGCTGAAGTTTACAGAAAATGACTACTTTGGCAACGTGTTGCAAACTCGCAAATATGCAGCCCAATCTGATTTCTACTGGCTTAGAAAAGAAGTTCCAAAAACAGAGTGAGTAGACAAAAGGCAAATTTACATAATCTTCTAACAATATTTTAATTTAT